CGGTCGGAGAGTGCCGCCTCTGTGGGCGGGGGAGGGGAGCAGGGTTCTGTGCTTCCCTCCCTTCTAGTCCTCTTTTATGGCCAGTTTCTTCTTCGGGCAGTTCGCTGGCGTCACCCGTTTATCTTGCGTGTCCCAGTTCTCACTGGGACCTGCCGCTTTTCCTCCCTATTAACTTTTTTTAATGGGAGATCTTACTCGCAGCGTCTCCTCGCCGCCATGTTGCTCCGCCCCCTTCTGGCTATTTATATTTCTAAAAGGAGTGAAACCATACAGTAATTGTCTTTCACAGACACAACTATATATTTTACGTTTCTCTTAATGCAGTTCCCAAAACAGGAAATTATAATGTAATAGAAAAAAGCAGCCTGTGGCCCCATAACTCAGTGAAAAACTCACTCAGCCTTTCAATGTGTGAGTATGTGCCCTACACATTACTTTTTTCTGCCTGACACATCCAGGATACACCTCTTGCCTCCAAATGATGGTCTGACTGTCTCGAAGGCTCTGTTCTAACCAGCTTTGGTAGTTAACTTACGCCTGACAAACCTTTGGGCATCACCCAATAAGTACTTAGGTCATAATGTCAAAGTTTTCAGCCTGTTAACTTCACATGTGTTCAAAACATCTATTGTTAAGTGTTTGTAATATGTCTGTGTTGTTCGTTTTCAAACACTTTTTTTAAAAGATTGTTTATGTTTACAAGAACTAGGGTACAGGCCAGAGATACAGGGGGTGAGAGGATTCACCAGAGACAGAGTGGGCAGCAGAACGGGCAGATTGATTGAAATATACTGCTAAGCAGCGGGTGAGGCAGGAGAGATCTGCTGTGCCATGTGGGTAGCTCCCTGACCAGAGATCAAACTTGTGCTACAGAGGCTGCGAATAGCTCCACAGTGCTGTGCTTAACCTCTTGCGCCACCAGGGAGGCCCCGTTTTCAAACATGTTTGTGATGCAAACCCCTTCATAAGATGTGGGACTAACTTCCCTTGACAAGTCATGAAAAAATTACTAGGCAATGAGGAACGTGGCTCTAAGTAAAGTGTCAGTCACCAGCGTGGGTGACCAGGGGGCAGAACAGGAAGTTCTGGCATCTGTGCAGGGCTGTCCACGCCTCCTCTAGCAGCTACTGGACCTGAGGTGGGAGGCTTGCTGTACAGAACGTGACTCTGAGAAAATTTCTTGCTCCCAGCATGCACTGGGGCCTGCACCGAACCTATATTTCTTAATTTTAGCAACAAGTTCTCCTCAGTAAACATTCTGCAAGAAATACATGTGGAACATGATGCTAAACATTTGATGCTCTTGGGTTAAGTGACTAGTGTTGGCTTACGTGGTTGTTACAAGAATCATAGATTTTTCCTGTGAAGCCACCTGCTCCTAGTGCTTTTATTTGTGAGGGTCTCTGTCAGGGACTCCTTTGCATATTCCGTGACTACTGCTGTCACCAGAGGTCAACAGTGATAAAGGATACCATCCTACCTAGGATCCTACAATGGCATGGAATTGTGCAAACCAATCTGAGTTCATTGATGTGTGCAACTGTGTTCAATGATTTAAAATATAAGTTAAGGGCCTCCCCGGTGGCGCAGCGGTTGAGCGCTGGGCTGCGAAGCTGCCTGCAGCCTCTGCAGCGCCGGTTCGATCCCCGGCCACCAGCGAGGGTCCCACATGGCGCGCAGACCTCTCCTGCCGTGCCCACTGCTCCCCTCAGCAGTGTACTTCGGTCCTTCTGCCTGTTCTGCTCCCTGCTCTGGCTCTGGTGAATTCTTTCACCCTCCCGCGCTTCTGACTGTATGTACCCAGTGCTCGTATAAATAAATAAAAAATCTTTTAAAAAAAAAAATAAAATAAAATATAAGTTAAATTATTAGCAATTTCATTTGTATCCCTTTGAAAAACCTGCCTGGATATTTCGTTTTATTCCATTTCCAGCAGATAACTAAAGTAGTAGTTCAGCTCAGTGGCATGAAGATGGATGCCAGGCCCGCAGGCAGAGGGCAGGTTTACTGTTGATTCGGGCAGACCAATAAAGGGAGTCTTGGAGCCCCCTGTAGATCTGACAGGCCTTAATGTTGAATCCGGATACCCTGGTGTTTTCTCTCAGCATTTCTCTGGGACTCTTCTCTTGTCTTGTGGTCTCACCTCCCAGTGGTTGTCTCTGAGGGCTGCTGCTGCTGCCTTTATCACCCGCCTCCTGGCACAGGCGTGAGCATTTACACAGCTCATGCCTGTGCTCTCTGGCCCAGGTATCCCTAATCAGAGGCTTATGTGCCCTGTGCCTGCACCACCGAGGAGGTGTGCAAGACCACAAATGGCAGCCCTAGTGGCTGGCAGGGGAAGGGTGGAAAAGGCTGCTAGCTTCCTTTACCCTCCAATGGGGAGGGAACAGGACATAGCAGAAAGACTAGGGCAGCCGGGTTCCAGCGAAAAACACCTCGCAGCCTGGGCCTCGTGTTTTACGTCTCAGCATTTCCTTGCTCCTGCATCGGTTCCCCTGTTTGCTTCTGGGGATGGTGGAGAAAGGTGTCTCGAACTCGAGATGCCACAGTCCCTTCGTGTAAGGATGTGTTCACACACGCTTGGTGACTGGGTGTGATTGTGTGAAACACCGACCCTGTGTTTGTGCTGTTGTCATCCGAGCTCACGGCTGTGTGACTATGCACGCGGTGCGTGTGTGCAGGACTGAAGGGGCAGCGGGCTCCTGTGAGCCCAGCGGTGGCCGTGTGTGCTTGTCTGCACAGAGGGTGTGACTAGCGGGGTGTGGGGACCTGCACGCACAGGGCTGTGGGACCTGCATGCTGTTGAGTGTGTGTTCATTCAGAGCGTGGTTTGTCCAGCAACCAGCGTTCTGGCTCAACACTGGGGATAGTGATGGATTCAGTTGTAGAGCTGTGACAAGAAAAAAAATGTAAGAATTAAATTTGCCAGAGACAACAGGGGGTGAGACAAAGACAGCCAGCGTCTGTCACCGAAGATGCAGTGGAGTGTGAGTGTGGAGGGCGGAGTGAGCCGCTGACGGTCATGAACCAGGCCAACAGCATCTCTTCACCTGGTGGCTACCTGCGGGCTCCTCTATGGGGACACACCTGACGCTGGTGCTTCCTGTCGGAGGGAATATTTTGGAACCATCTCTCTCTCTTTCCGCGGCTGTTAGTCACCTCCTGCATTCTGTCACGAGGGAGGATCCGTATCGGTGACGTATCTTGTCCAGTGTCTCCACAATCATTGATGAAGAGTTGAGCAGACGAAGACAGTGATAGAGGATGGCATTTGTGTTACCCTGTTCATGTTGTTTCCTACCTTTTAAAACCTCCCTGGACGTTTTGACTCATTCCAGATCTTTGCTCAGTGGTTGGGATGAAGTTAATAAGATCTCCCTTCAGGGCCAAACTTGCCAGCGAGCAGAGCCTCCCCGGACGCCATGCCCACTCAGCGCCCAGTCTGTCCTGATTACTCTGGGGCTCCTCCCGGGAGCTCTGTCTGCCCCCAGGGCCCAGGGAAACAGTCCCCCCATTGCCCCCCATCTCTGGACACCGCTGAGGACCCTGAAGTTGTTGTTGGCAATTACCAGAAGGAAAAGTTTTCCCGACTCTTCTGAGCTCCCAGAGCTGCCACTGCCCGTGGGGACCTGATAATTGCAGCTCTGAGGAGGGGGGGATCCCAGCAGCACACACTATATCTCAGGGTGCACTGGGCCTGGCACACACACAGGCTGAGTCCTTGCCATAAGCCCAGCGCCTAGGAGGCAGGAAGCAGGTGAGTCTGCTCTGTGCTCACGGGGCAGGTGTGGGAGGGGACAGGGGTGCAGAAGGGGATCTGCTCCTGGAGCCAAACCTGGGCAGGCACCTCCTGGGCGACTGAAGACAGCAGGTGCGGACCCCCAACCCTGCGGGCTCCTTGTGCCCAGATCGGGCTCTTCAGGCCTAGGGGCCTGCGGGTCCAGGCAGGCCAGGAGCACCCTGACTCGCCTGACCTCAGTGTGGTGGTTCTGGGGCTCCTGCTGCTCAGCCTCGTCAGGAGGAGCCCTGGCCTGATGCCCAGGGCCAAGGGGCATAGAGGGGCTCCGTGCTGGTGAGACAGAGCGGGGGGCTCCATGAGGCTCTGGTACCAGCAGAAAGCCCGTCTGAGAGCCAGTGGGGAGGAGACAGTGCAGCTCCTCGAGGGGCCCGAGGCTCTGCTGTGCTCCTGCCATCCTGCCGCTCTGCACCTGCCAGGCTCACAGAGAGCCCAGGGCACCCTGTAGCCCATGCTGGGGGCTCCCTGGTCTCTGTAGCTTTAGCAAAGTGTAAAGCTGACTAAGATTATTGGGCATCCCTGGTGGCGCAGCTGTTGAGAGCTGAGTTGCGAAACTGCTCGTAGCCTCTGTAGCGTTGGTTCAATACCCAGCCGCCGGTGAGGGTCCAAGGTGCACAGACCTCTCCTCTCGCCCTCTGCTCCCCTTAGCAGTGTATTTCATCAGTCTGCATGTTCTGTTCCCCGCTCTGGCTCTGGTGAATTCTCTCACCCTCCCCCGCTTCTGACTGTACCCAGGGCTTCTATAAATAAATCTTTAAAAAAAAAAACTAAGATAGTAGAACAAAAATAGGTGGAAATTTGTCACTACCAAAGTTAAATCAAGTGCCACGGCTCTCACCAGTAGTTTCAAAATACACAGTCAAATCTAGCTGTGATTTACCTGGAGACCCGGCTGAGGGGCCCCTGTGAGTGTGGGTCCAGTGTCCTGTGTTGTCCCCGCCCAGCCAGGTGCAGCTCTCCTCTCGGCCCGAACCGAGGAATGAGTCTGGAGAACCAGGATCCCCTGTGTGCCTGTGCGCCCTCCTCTTCACGGGGTCTGGAGAGGGCCGCCTCAGGAGTCGTGAGGAAGGAAGTTACCTTGCCTGGGGCACGTCAGAGCCGTGAGTCCTGGTTGTCCGTTCAGCCACTGAAAGTCTCGAAAGCCTTGACGTGAACATGTCAGAGCGGGAGCTGTGCTGGGAGGGGAGTCAGGGCTGCACCTGCCATGATCCAGGAGCCTGAGCCTCGGGTTCCTGGACAGGGTCCTCCTGCTCAGAAGGCCCACGTCAGCCTGGGAACTGGCAGGATGGACGCCAGGCATTTGGCCGTACAAATGATTTTCTTCTTCCAAATTGTGCTCGGGCTTCTGGGGAACCTCTCTCTCCTTTCCCATCACCTCTTTGTCTCTCTCACTGGCTGTCGGCCGAGGGCCACCGATTTCATTGTCAAGAACCTGATTGTGGCCAATTGCCTGGTCCTCATGTCGAGTGGAATCTGCTATCCAGTGACGTTCTTTGGGGAGATCCCCATCCCCAACGATTTTGGATGCAGTTTTTGCCATTATGCGCGACAGGTGGGCAGGGGCATGTCCATCAGCACCACCTGCCTCCTGAGTGTGGTCCAGGCCGTCACCATCAGCCCCTGGCGCTGCAGGGGGGCAGGGCTGAGGGGGAAACCTCCCAAGTGCGTCCTGCCCTGCATTGCCCTGTGCTGGGTCCTGAGCCTGCTGGTAAATTCCATCTTTGCCATGTTCATGTCTAGCAATTCCAGTGACAAAAATGACACAAGCAGGAAAAGGTTTGGGCAGTGTTCCTCTGTTCGACTCGACCCAGCCAGTGACATATTATCTGGCGCCCTGCTCTCCTTCCCTGAGGTTGTGTTTTTTGTGACCATGCTCGGGTCCAGCGGCTCCATGGTCTACACCCTGTCCCGGCACAGGCAGCGGGTCCGTCACCTTCATGGGTTCGCCTCCTCCACGTCCTCCCCCGAGTCTAGGGCCACTCACACCATCCTGCTCCTGGTCAGCACCTTTGTCTGCTTTAACATCATTTCCTCCATGCTGAAGATGGTTGTGGCTGTTATGTATAATCCCGACTGGTATGTTTTTAACATCAATACAGTAGTCACGCTCTCTTTCCCGACTCTCTGTCCTTTTCTGCTCTTGAGCCGGGAGCCCAAGGTGTCCCAGCTGTGCTCTGCCCTGATCAGGAATAATAAATGCCACAAACCCTTGAGAAATATGTAAACCGTGTGTGAGTGCACGGTCATTTATTCATTTGATAAGTCACTCAACAGCCCCAGTCCTAAGTGCAGTCATGAGTGACTTATGGTTTATGGACAGGCTGAGCAACCTCTTCACAGCAAGTGTTTCTGGACCAGTCACTAAAACGAGGTCTGTACAGGGGTCCCTAATACTCCTGTGAGGAACATGGTCTTGCTCCACATGATCAGCAATGTGTGTGAGACAGCACGTGGTCCTGACACTCTCTGTGATGGTGGAGAGGCCTCAACTGTGTCACTTTAATTCTCACAGTAAATTCTTAGTAATATACGACATGGAGCTGAGGACACAAGGAAATGGCACGGTGGGTGCAGGGCAGCCCTGGAGCTGGAGTCAGCTGTCCTGAGGGGAGACCCCGGCCGCGAGTCAGGCTTCGGGAGCAGTTTTCAGTTTTGCACATTCCACCCTCAGGGAGGCGGAGCCCGTATTTGAGAAGGGCGTGTGAAGGCGATTCCGAGCCGGAGCATCCTCTGGTAGACCTGCGGACAGATGGGCTGGGTCCAGCAGGCACAGACGCACATCTTAGCTGGTTTCCAGCCACCAGAGGGTGATGGTGAGGATTCAAGGAGACGTGCTTTGCGTGGCCTGGGGTGTGCAGGAGCAAAATCTCTCCCACGGATGTGAGCGGGTTTGCAAGACACAGACTGGAGGTGCCCTCTCTCGTCGTTCAGGGTGGAGGCGCAGGAAACTCGGCACCTGGGGAGACGCACTTGGAAGGAAAGAGCTGGATCCCCTGTGTGTTCAGGGGCCAAGGGCGTGTGTCCTCAGTCTCAGGAGGGACATGTATAGAGCTTGCTCTGAATGTACAGCGTGGAGCTCACGCAAAATATGAAGCATTCAACAGTGTGCGACTCAAAGCACTTATTGTGACAGACTTGTCTGTACATATCTGAGCTCACGTGATATACTTTCTCAGACCACAAAGCACAAACAGGAGAAGCTCATGGACGCTCACATCGTACAACTGTATTTTGTTTCCATGTGTGCCCATGCAGATCTGCAGATGTGTGTCAGCGATCACATGTGTGGCCTGCATGCTTGTAGTGTAGGCACCTGTATCCGTGTCCACCTACAGCAATCATGTCCTTTATCGACGCATTAGAACGTCCTAATTTGAGAGAAATGACCAATCCTATTAACTAGAATAGTGACATTTCTTAAAATGTGTTCTATCTGGTGTGTATATTGCTATACAATCGATTGTTTAAAAAAATACATGCTTTTCCTATTATCAATTTGTTGTTTAACCATAGCTCTTAAAAATAATCCAAAGTATATAGTAACATTTATTTGAACTTAAAAGTTGCAATTCACCTTTAACTGAATATGGTATTTTCCATATTCTTTTCATATTTTGTCTATGCTTTTCAATGTGATCCTCTATTAGAAATGCACTTGATATTTCTGCATTGTAATCACCCCATCTTCTTTGAAAGTTTTACACAAAGTATTGTTTGATTGTTTTTTAAAGATTTATATAAGCATACAAGAGCTGGGGTACAGGCCAGAGATGTGGGGGTTGAGAAGATTCACCAGAGACAGAGTGAGGAACGGAACAGGCAGACTGACTGAAACACACTGCTGAGGGGAGCAGCGGGCGAGGCAGCTTATGTGGGTTGCTCCCTGAGTAGCCGGGGATCAAACTCTTGGTGCAGAGTTTGTGGATCGCCTCACAGTGCGGTGCTTAACCCCTTGCACCACCAGGGAGGCCCAGTATTGTTTGATTTTAACCTAGAAATTTCATTCTGTTTCTAAGAGCTCACCACAGCGACATTTAGTCACTGAATCCACCTTTGCCACATCAGGACGTGGAAATATGAGTCTATTTTCCTCATCCCATCTTTCTAAGCCCTCTGGTATGGATTTTACATACTTAACGCCCCGCCCGGTGAGGCAGAGTAAGTCCCCATGAGCTCACCCTGTCCTCAGTCCTTGGATACCACAAACAGGGTCTTGTCTGACTCTGGCCTCGGGCTCCCCCCACAACGACCCCTCAGGCCACCCTGCTCTGCCACCTGCCCCAAGTCACCACCCCGCGGGGCCCTTTTTGTGGAGGAGGTGGTGTGAGCACCTTCCTCTTTGGTCTGTTTGATGCTGTCTGTGCATTTTCTGCTGCCCTGATGTTGGTCCTTCCCTGACGTTGCTGTCTAGGACCCTGTTGTGTGACCAGCAAACACCTGAACATACCTGGTTACTTTGCCCAGGGAGCACCCCACATCCCCCAACCCCAGTTCCTCCAGGTCCTAGGGGCTGAGGGAGAAGCTTTATTTCTTGTAAAGAAATTCTGATTCAATAAATCTGCGCCTCCTGAGCGAGTGTCCTCACCACAGTTGGAGCCCTAGACCCTGCCACGTCTGGCTGTGTCCTTAGGGTCAAGTCCTGCCCACAGCCCACTGGAGGTGAGTTTGACACTTGTGTGTGCATTTCAGACTTAACCGCTTCTCAGAAGCCCATGGTATCTTCTTCCAGCCAGCAGGAGGACTGTTCATGGAGACGCGATTTTCTTCTGCTGTGGGGAAGCTTTGAGGGGGATGTGGCGCCAGTTGCTTCATTTTGCTTTTGTTTCCCTTGCTGGGATCGGTCCCCAAACACATCTCTGAGTCTGATCGCGATGGCATCGATCTGTGTTTTCTTCCCTGGAGTTTAAGGTCTCAGGTCCTCCACCCAATGTTTACTCCATTTTGTGTTCATGTTCACGGTGGTGGGAGCATGTGCGCCAGCTCCACTCTGCTGTGCGAGGTTGTCCAGTTTCCCCAACTCTGTCTGTGGGAAACTGTCTCCCTGTCTTGTAAGCTATCGGTTTCTGTGCTGTAAATGTCCTCCACGTGAGTGTGCTCTCTTTCCAGACACTCACAGGCGTTTGTCCCTGAGCTGAAACTAGAGTCCACAGGCAGTAAAAGTAGGTTCCTGTAGCGATTTCTGTATCGCAAGTTCACTGCAGCGATTGCAAGAGCCAAGAGGTGACAGAGCCCACCGCTGATGAACTGACCAGGAAGCCGCCAGGCCAAGGCCGAGAGCGCCATGTGGTTCCTGGGTGGGAAAAAGAGGGGTGAGTTCTGGGGGAACAGACCGGCAGGTAGCCGAGGCTACCTAGACACTACTTGGGAACATAGACAAGGGGGGATCCCACTCATGTGACACCCTTAGCGTCCGGATCCTAATTTTGCAGCCTAATTTTGAGGGGAAGGGAGACCCTGGGCTGTGATGGCGGTGTAGACCCCGGGCCTTGTTGCATTGGGTTGGGGCCCAGGCACCTGCTTTGGCCACAGCCCCCAGGGCTCGTGGCTGTGATCAGTGAAGGGAGCTCCAGTGGCCGCGACGGGATCGTGCTGGGGAGGAGAGCTCTGCAGTGGAATCCATGGGCTCCCTCCCCTCATCATCTTGTCGCCTGTCTATCCCGCTTCTGCCATTTATTTATTTATTTATTAAGATTTATTTATTTATGCATACAAGAGCTGGGGTATAGGCCAGAGATGCAGGGGTGAGAGGATCCACTAGAGACAGAGCGGGGAACAGAACAGGCACTGACTGCAATACACTGCTGAGGGGAGCAGCGGGTGAGTCAGGAGAGGGCTGCCTCGCCATGTGGGTTTCTCCCTGGCCGGCCAGGGATTGAACTCGTGCTGCAGAGGCTGTGGATCACTTCACAGTGCGGTGCTTAACCCCTTGTGCCACCAGGGGGGCCCTAAGTGAGTCTCAATTGTGTTCTCTTTGGATACCCGTAAAGTATCAGACCCCATGTAGCCCCAGGCCTCTCCTCCACTTTCGACCCCAGACGCCACCGTACTGCTCCCTCCATGATCTGTCCCTCATGTTCCCCCTCGCTCCTGAGCCTCCTGGTCTGTGTGCCTCAGCACCTGCACAGGTCACTAGGACTCCCTGCCTGGGCACCAGCCCCCAAGTCCCCAGAGCGCCCTCTCCGCCGCATGCTGCGCCCTCTCTGCCATCCGGCCTCCTGCCAACCACTCGGCCACCGCCAGCCCTCCTGCATCTGTGTCCATGCAGAGCCCACCGTCTGCCTCCTCCCTGACCTGCTCTCCACCCAGTTCAGCCGCCCCAAGTCCACGGACCCTTACTTGGGCCTAGACTCCCCCGAGAATCCACTGAATCTTGGGCCTGCCACCCTGCCACCCTGACTCCCGGGGGTGAACCTCTCAGTGATCAGAGCCTCCCTGGGCCGCCCCTCCTCTGCAGACTCCAGGCTGTCCTGTTTATTCTGGGGCTCCTCCCAGGAGCTCTGATGCCCCCAGCGCCCAGGGAATCAGAGTCTCCCCAACGCCCCAATCTCTGGACAGCCGCTAAGGACTCAGAAGTTGTTCTTGGCAATTAGCAGCAGAAACAATTTTCACGACTCTTCTGAGCTCCCAGGCCTGTCGCTGCCCGGGCAGCTCCAGGGGACCCGATAATTGCGGGTCTGACGGGGAGTGGGTCCCAGCGGAAGAGACTATATTCTGGGGTGCACTGGGCCCGGCACAAGGACACAGGATGAGCCCTTCCTGAGCACAGCGCCTGGGCGGCAAGAAGCCGGTGAGTCTGCTCTGTGCTCACGGGGGCGGGTGGGGAAGGAGGACAGGGGTGCAGGAGGGACACGGGCAGGAGGGGACCCGCTCCTGGAGCACAGCCGGAGCAGATATCTCCCAGGCTAGTGAAGACAGCGGGGTGCAGGCCCCCACCCTGAGGGCGCCTGGTGTCTGGCTCGGGCTCCACAGGCCCAGGGGGCTGCAGGTGCAGGCAGCCCAGGAGCACCCTGACTCCCCTGACCTCAGCGTGGAGGATCTGGGGCTCCTGCTGTTCAGCCTCCTTAGCAGGAGTCCTGGCCATGCCCAGGGCCATGGGGCATCTAGGGGCCTCCCTGCTGGTGAGACAGGGCCGGGGGCTCCACGGGGCTCTGGTCCTGGCAGAAAGCCCGTCTGAGAGCCGTGGGGAGGAGACGGTCCCCGACACGGAGGGTGAGGGACGCAGCGGGCTGCGTCCATGGGTCCCCACTGTGGAGAGACTTTCCTCCTAAATGTAGGGACAGCAGCACTGTAGGAAAATAAAGCTGCGGGCTGCAGACGTTTTCAGGCTGAAGAGTGTCCTGTCCCATCTCTGCCGCTGTCCATGTGATAACCCCGTCACTCTGGGCACCAGTCCCGCCTCGGCAGGTCTGTGTCTGCTCCTTCCCCTTCACGCACGCTCTGGCCTCATGACCGGCCGTCCTGGGACCCAGCCCTGCAGCTCAGGTGCCAACAGCTCCTGGCTGAGGTTTGTGACCAGGAGCCGCGCCTCCCTGTACTCTCTTCCGAGGCTGCACTTCTCGCCCTGGTGCTCGGGCGCGCAGCTCCTGGAGGGGCCCGAGGCTCTGCTGTGCTCCTGCCGTCCTGCCGCTCTGCACCTGCCAGGCTCACAGAGAGCCCAGGACACCCCGTAGCCCGTGCTGGGGGCTCCCTGGTCTCTGTAGCTTTAGCACAGTGTAAAACTGACTCAGATATTGAGCCATCCTGGTGGCGCAGCGGTTGAGCGCTGAGTTGCGAAACTGCTCGTAGCCTCTGTAGCATCGGTTCGACACTGGCCGCAGGTGAGGGTCGCACATGGGGCTCAGACCTCTCCTCTCGCCCACTGTTCCCCCTCAGCCATGTGTTTTTTTCAGTCTGCCTGCTCTGCTCCCCGCTCTGGCTCTGGTGAATTCTCTCACCCTCCCCCGCTTCTGACTGTACCCAGTGCTTGTATAATAAATAGATAAATAAATCTTTAAAAAAAAAAACTGAGTAAGATATTAGAACAAAAATATGTGAAAATTTGTCACTAGCAAAGTTAAATCAAGTGCCATGAGTCTCACCAGTAGTGACAAAATACACAGTCAAATCTAGCTGTGATTTACCTGGAGACCGGCTGAGGGGCCCCTGTGAGTGTGGGTCCAGTGTCCTGTGTTGTCCCCGCCCAGCCAGGTGCAGCTCTCCTCTCGGCCCGAACCGAGGAATGAGTCTGGAGAACCAGGATCCCCTGTGTGCCTGTGCGCCCTCCTCTTCACGGGGTCTGGAGAGGCCGCCTCAGGAGTCGTGAGGAAGGAAGTTACCTTGCCTGGGGCACGTCAGAGCCGTGAGTCCTGGTTGTCCGTTCAGCCACTGAAAGTCTCGAAAGGATGAGCGCCTTGACGTGAACATGTCAGAGCGGGAGCTGTGCTGGGAGGGGAGGTCAGGGCTGCACCTGCCATGATCCAGGAGCCTGAGCCTCGGGTTCCTGGACAGGGTCCTCCTGCTCAGAAGGCCCACGTCAGCCTGGGAACTGGCAGGATGGACGCCAGGCATTTGGCCGTACAAATGATTTTCTTCTTCCAAATTGTGCTCGGGCTTCTGGGGAACCTCTCTCTCCTTTCCCATCACCTCTTTGTCTCTCTCACTGGCTGTCGGCCGAGGGCCACCGATTTCATTGTCAAGAACCTGGTTGTGGCCAATTGCCTGGTCCTCATGTCGGGTGGAATCTGCTATCCAGTGACATTCTCTGGGGAGATCCCCATCCTCAACGATTTTGGGTGCAGATTTTGCCATTATGCGCGACAGGTGGGCAGGAGCATGTCCATCAGCACCACCTGCCTCCTGAGTGTGGTCCAGGCTGTCACCATCAGCCCCTGGCGCTGCAGGGGGGCAGGACTGAGAGGGAAACCTCCCAAGTGCGTCCTGCCCTGCATTGCCCTGTGCTGGGTCCTGAGCCTGCTGGTAAATTCCATCATTGCCATGTTCATGGCCAGCAGTTTCAGTGACAAAAATGACACAAGCAGGAAAAGGTATGGACAGTGTTCCTCTGTTCGTCACGATCCAGCCAGTGACATCTTATACGGGGCTTTGCTCTCCTTCCCAGATGTTGTGTTTTTTGTGACCATGGCCGGGGCGAGCGGCTCCATGGTCTACACCCTGTCCCGGCACAGGCAGCGGGTCCAGCACCTTCACAGGTTTGTCTCCTCCACGTCCTCCCCCGAGTCTAGGGCCACTCACACCATCCTGCTCCTGGTCAGCACCTTCATCTGCTCTAACATCATTTCCTTCATGCTGAAGATTGTTGTGGCTGTTATGTATAATCCCGAGTGGTTCCTTTTTAACTTCAATGCAGTAATCACACTGTCTTTCCCGACTCTCTGTCCTTTTCTGCTCTTGAGCTGGGAACCCAAAGTGTCCCTGCTGTGCTCTGCCCTGATCAGGAACAATAAATGCCCAAACCCTTGAGAAATATGTAAACCGCGTGCAGGGCACGGTCATTTATTCATTCGATAATTCACTCAACAGCCCCAGTCCTAAGTGCAGTCGTGAGTGACTTATGGTTTATGGACAAGCTGAGCAACCTCTTCACAGCAAATGTTTTGGGACCAGTCACCGTAACGAGGTCTGTGTAGGGGTCCCTAATACTCCTCCGGGAACATGGTCTTGCTCCAGGTGGTTACAATGTGAGACAGCATGTGCTCCGGACACTCTTTGGCATAGTGGAGAGGCCTCAACTGTGTCACTTTAATTCTCACAGTAAATTCTTTATAATACTCGGCATGGATCTGAGGACACCAGGAAATGGCATGGTGGGGGCAGGGCAGCCCTGGAGCTGGAGTCTGTTGTCCTGAGGCGAGACCCTGGCAGCAAGTCTGGCTTCAGGAGCGGTTTTCAGTTTTGCACATTCCACCGTCAGGGAGGCGGAGCCCTTATTTGAGAAGGGCGTGTGAAGGCGATTCCGTGCCGGAGCATCCTCTGATAGACCTGCGGACGAATGGGCTGGGTCCAGCAGCCACAGAAGCACAGCTTCACTGGTTTCGAGCCACCAGAGGGTGAGGGTGACAGTGTCGATTCAAGAAGACGTGCTTTGCATGGCCTGGGGTGTACAGGAGTAAAATCTCTCTCACGGTGAAGGGGATATGTGCGGGTTTGCAAGACACAGACAGGAGGTGCCCTCTCTCGTCGCTCAGGGTAGAGGCACAGGAAACTTGGCACTGGGACACATGCACTTGGAAGGAAAGAGCTGGATCCCCTGTGTGTTCACGGTGCCAAGGACGTTTGTCCTCAGTCTCATTTGGGACATGTATAGAGCTTGCTCTGAATGTACAGCGTGGAGCTCACGCAAAATATGAAGCATTCAACAGTGTGCGACTCAAAGCACTTACTGTGACAGACTTGTCTGTACATATCTGAGCTCACGTGACACACTTTCTCAGACCACAAAGCACAAACAGGAGAAGCTCATGGACGCTCACATCGTACAACTGTATTTTGTTTCCATGTGTGCCCATGCAGATCTGCAGATGTGTGTCAGTGATCACATGTGTGGCCTGTGTGCTTGTAGTGTAGGCACCTGTATCCGTGTCCACCTACAGCAATCATGTCATTTATCTACGCATTAGAACTTCCTAATTTGAGAGAAATGACCAATCCTATTATCTAGAATAGTGACATTTCTTAAAGTGTGTTTTATCTGGTGTGCATATTGCTATACAATCAATTGTTAAAATAAATACATGCTTTTCCTATTATCAATTTATTGTTTAACCAACCTCTTAAAACAAATCCAAAGTGTATAGTAACATTTATTTGAACTTAAAAGTTGCAATTCACCTTTAACTGTAATATGGTATTTTTATTATTATATTAGATGTATAATTTTAGAATGTCTTTTCATATTTTGTCTATGCTAGCTTCTTTTCCTTTGGTTTTAAATGTGATCCTATATTAGAAATGCACTCGATATTTCTGCAGTATAATCACCGCATCTTCTTTGAAAGTTGTGCACAAAGTATTGTTTGATTTTTTTTAAAGATTTATTTATTCATACAAGAGCTGGGGTATAGGCCAGAGATGTGCGGGTTGAGAAGATTCACTAGTGACAGAGCTGGGAACAGAACAGGCAGACTGACTGTAACACAGTGCTGAGGGGAGCAGCGGGTAAGACAGGAGATATCTGCTGCGCCATGTGGGTTGCTCCCTGGCCAGCCGGGGATCAAACTCCTGCTGCAGAGGCTGTGGATCGCCTCATAGTGTGGCCCTTAACCCCTTTCCACCAGGGAGGCCCAGTATTGTTTGATTTTAACCTAGAAATTTTATTCTGTTTCTAAGAGCTCACCACAGCGACATTTAGTCACTGAATCCACCTTTGCCATATCAGGACATGAAAATATGAGTCTGTT